TGTCGCACTTCAAGCAGCTTCCGTGCTGCTTGACTGCTAGTCGACGTCCTTCTTCTCGATCTTCAGGTCGAATTTGGCCACCAGCTCCTCGGGCGTGTGTCTGTAATGGGCATTTTTGTTAGTAACATTTTGTGCACAGTTCTATTGTTTCGATTGATTGCTCACCCAACTAGATTCTGCAGATCGCAGACAAAGCGATAGACATAGCGTTTGCCCGCCGTCTTGTGTATGATGTTCTTATCATAGTAATAGCGCAGACCCCGGCTCAGTTTCTCGTAGTTCATCTTGGGCTTGTTTTTGCGTATGCCCCAGCGGCGTGCCACCTATCGTACAATCGATGTAATAAATATAATATTTAATAAAGAGTTCATTTAACAACCATTTGTCGTGTATTTACCTCATCGGGATCGGTTAGCTTGAACTCCCAGCCATCGCCCGTCCAGGAGATGAAACTCTGACAGGTCTTGTCCAGCAGCAATTCCAGCAGAAATTGCCACAGTTGTATTGGCCCGGAGCCTGTAAAACAGGGCACTCCGCCCTGCGTTGTGTAGCCGCCCAGCAGCGTTTTGTCCAGACCCAATGTGGTCATATATGCCGCCGGATGCTGATGAGCATGCGCGCCCCATTGATCCATGTTCGGCTGGGCGCCCATTGTTGGGAACTGCGCATCGTATGCCGTAAACTCTGGCGGGAAGGAGTCATGGAAACGTCTATTATACGTATTGTAAAAGTCCGGACTGGAATCCATGTAGCCATTGCTGTTGGTGCTGCCGCTGCCATTGCCCGCACTGGAAGCCTGGCTCTGATGCTCCTGCGCTGAAAGCGTGCTGTGATAGTCGCTATCATCGCCGCCACCAGCAGAAGCGCCCCCACCGCCGCCCGGATTGCCCCCTCCACCACCACTATAGTGTCCGGCGGCCGCTGCTGCAGCCAAATGTGCGGGCAGTCCATAGCTGCTGAGATCTGTTGGATCGTTTTGAGCATTCGACGCGTAGGCGGCGTTGCTGCCGTTGGCGGACTGTGTGCCCGGCTCCTCTTTTAGCTGATGTTGGTAGATAGCCGCCATGGCTGTCATGTAGTTAATATTGTTGTTGTTGTTGTTGTTATTATTATTATTATTATTATTATTATTGTTGTTGTTGTTATTACTGCCCGCATTAGCGTTGTTGTTGGTATTATTGTTGCTGCCGCTGCTGCCGTTGTTATCGGCAGCATTTTGCTGTTGCACGCCAGGCGGCAACATGTTGTTGTTGTTGTTGTTGCTGCCAGTGTTGTTGCTGTTGCCATTGACATGCTGTTGCGATTGCTGCGGTGGCGGGCTGCTGTTGGTGCGATCGTGTGGGTTGCTGTTGTTGTTGTAGCCTGCAAGATAACAAATAAAATATGTATAAACTTTATTGATTAGCCAATGTAATTGTTTTTTCAGTTGTATAACGAGCGCTAAAAGTTTGCGACGAATCATAAAGAAAATCTCCTGATGCCCCACAAATATAAATACATTCCAATTATTTTTTACATTTCCTTAAAGCTTACAAACTTTTTGAACAATCAAATAATTTATCTTCATTTTAGTTGTTATTTTATGTTAATTATTTACACTATAAATATAGATATATTTAATCAGTTACAGCAAGATATATAGATTAATGTAAAGACTTTTGAGATGTTACTTTTATGAATTACATACATTTCGAATCCTTTAAAATCTACATTTGTTTTATTTTCATTTGCTCTGAAGACATTTTAGCATCAAATGGGGCGTCTCTGACACGAACACAATTCGAGGGCAACCGCTTCGGAAGCCAATCAAAATTCGAAGCGCACACCAATACAATTGCGGCCTGTCGCCGCAATAGATACTAAACACAGATACACACGCATACCGACGCATGCACACACATACAGGCGAGCAAGTTGAGCTACCCTCTCTCAATCTAATGTGGCCTGCGAGCGCACGCTACATTAATTGTAAATACGTCGAAATTTAACACGTTTCAACGAGTGTGTACGTACGAATGCGTATGTGTGCATTGGTATCTGTGGGATACGAAAACCTGTTGCACACATACACACATATAAACATTAGCGCTGCTTCTCTCGCTCGCTCCAACCCGACGAGCGACTAGCTCAATCTCGCTTACTCGCTCGCAGCGGGCGAAAGCTTAGCGCGTTCTCCCATTCGCTTGGCGACGGTATTGCGCAGATACAAAGATACAAAACACTGCCCGTTGGCTGAGACAACGGGCGGCACTACAACAAAAAGAGTTGGGTGCCTCCCACGGTTATTCACACAGTGGCACAGCATCTCGGCCAGGCTAACATGTATCTGCGAGCTGTGCATCTGTGTGTCTAAACATCTATCTATCCATGTATCTAACTTTTAGTTGAGTCAGTCAACCTGCGCGCTAGTAAAGCATAACATTTTGTAGATGGTCGCATTGGGGCATTTAACAGCCGCCCAATCTCCTCCTCCTACATTCAACTTGTTGCGTGTTTATTGTTGTTGTTGTTGTTGTTGTCGCTACTTTGGCTTGTTGTTGCTGTTGCGGTTGCTTGCGGGCGTCACACAAACAAACAAACACTCGCAAGCAAATTACAATTTAATTATGCGTTGAGGGTTGTGCGCACATCTTTGAGCCACTTTTCACACTCCAACACCTCGATTGTAATTAAAATTGTGCGCCATTTGATGTCCGCAAATATTTGACTAGCTTTGTGCCCTACCTGAGCTAAAGAAGTTGACATCCGAGTCCGTATAGTAGGCATTGCCCGTTGCGTGATGCGACGGCGGCGAATAATCGCCCACAAAGGGCGTTATATCGTTGAAGTAGCCCAGGCCCAATGAAGCCGCTGTCGAGCTGCTTAAGGCGCCAGCCAGGCTGCCAATGCCGACGCTGGCACCGACGCTGCCGCCGTTGCCAGCACTGGCAAAGCTATGCGACGAGGCGTTCGAGGAAGCGCTGGAGCTGGAGCCGGAGGATGAGGAGGCCGTGTTGCTGCCTGTGCTGCCGCCGGACAAGCGATGTTGCTGCTGCTGCTGTTGCTGTTGCGTGGGTGAGACATAGTGGGTATGTTGCTGATGTGGCTGGTGTTGCTGCTGCTGCTGCTGTTGCTGCTGCTGCTGGGGATGTTGCTGATGCTGCTGTGGCTGATGATGATGCTGTTGTGGCTGCGGCTGCGGCGGCTGCTGCTGCTGCTGCGCTGGCAAGACATGCTGCTGATGTTGCTGCAGATGCACCGTTTGCTGTGGCAAATGATAGTTCGAATAGTTCTCATAGCTTTGTAGCACCATATTTTTCGATGTTGTTGCCGTTGTATAATTGTAGTTGGGCGCCGTCTGGCAATTGTTGTTGCTGATGTTGCCGCTCCTGCTGGCAGTGTATTGCTGCAAGTTCCTAAATTGTTGCTGCTCGGCTAATGCAAATGCTGCTGCTGATGCTGTTGCCTTGTCGTTATCCGACGCGTTTGCTGCACTGATTATGGTGGCATTAACTAGGAACGCAGAGGGCGGCATTTCTTCGCGTTTTCCAATTGATCAATTGTCAAAAACTGAATGTTAAAAATGCACGTCATTGACTTTCTGAATGGTCCACACAATAATACTTCTTGGCTATATATACTAAATGCTCTTCTATACAAATCAAAACTGCGGGATCCGCACAACTGTCAACCCAATTGACAACGTTTCGAATAGCCACACACACACACAAGCACACACATTAATTGTAAGTGGATTGGACTGTGGTGCAGCTGGCTTATGCTGGTGGTTCTTGCAGTTGTATTAAAATTGATTTCACTTTTGGGTAATATATGAGTATTTTAATTTTTGCACTGCCACTGCTACTCCTGCTGCTGCTGCTGCTGCTGCTGCTGGATGCGGGTTCTAATCAATTGAGTGGCTTCTGGAATTGGTTCTCATAAAGTACACATATCATGCGCTTAAGTATGCAGATAGATAGATAGATAGATGCTACAGCATGTGGGCGTTAGCATTTAAGGTTTGAGATTTTGGTTTGGTTTTAGGTAGCGCCGTTTTGTTGCCTGTGATTTGAGTTTGGTTTCGTTTTCAGATTGCAATTTTAGTAGCACACTTTTTATTATAATTCGCACTTATCGCACTATTTAAATTCCATTGTATTTCATGTAGCTTATTCATTTGCACACTTGTTGAGATTTTTAAAATATCTTTTGTTAATTGTTGTTATTTTTTGTTGTTTTTTACATTTTCGTTATGTCGACTATACGAGTTCCGTCGCATTTTTAGTATAGATTAAAATTTAACACTTGCTGGCAATTCTCGTATTTAATGGCAAATAATTGAAGGCAATTCATGAAATCAGTCGCGCTGCTGCTTAGATGCTTTACACTGTGTACACACACACTAGCACACACACACACGCGCACACACACATAAAGAATAACTTGATAAATTAATGCGCATATCGTACATATTTTATATCGCATTTAGTTATATATATTTCTCGTTTTCTGTTTTAATATATATTAGCAAAATGTTGCAACACTTTTCAATTATTTATTATTCGCTTTTATTCTTGAGATACTAGCTCGTTGTTTTTCTCTCAAGTCTCGTCTCAAATCTCGTACAACGGCGCGTATACACGATATCTGTGCTGTGCTGATCACTGATCAAAAATACAAGCGAACGTTTAGTCGAGCGACGGCAGCTCTTCTACCTTCGACATCCGTTTAAGAACTGAAGTTGCGCTGAAGTTGTACGTCGTGTTGTTGCCTGTGTCGGCACCATTGTATCTCAGAGTGTGCGTGTGTGTATCTGTGGTGCGCTCGCGTGTATCTGTGAGTGCGCACTCGTGTATGTCTGTGTGGGAGCGCCTCGTGTGCTGGCCAGCGCGTTCGTGCGCTCGGCTCCAGGCACACGAGCCACATGCATTCGCACACTCGCACAGTCGCACACTCGCACTGGTGTGCCATTGGCAATAATAATAATCAAGAGGAAGGCATGCATACTTGCACAGCGCTCACTCACAGATACTCTCCGGCTGTGGGCTAAGTAAGAGCATGTAAAAGCTTATGGATATACACGTAAGTGTATCGAAATTTTATTTATATCAATTCCTATATGAGATTCGACTCCACTTGTTGCCGCTAATTGCAGCTATATGGTATTTCGACAGTCGCTAATTAGTTTTCCACAGTACAGCCATCAAATTAGCCAGCCAAGATCATTAACAACGCGACGCCAACACACAAGAGCAGCAAACCAACCATTTTGGACCACCAAAATGGCTATCAGCAGCGGCCCACAGTCCACGGCCCACTGGCCGATGGTCAGCGGCATTCGTATTGGAAATGTGAGTGTAAATGCGAGAGTGTGTGCGTGTGTGGGCAGTAGCTCATCAGCGAACAGACGCCAACATTTTGCTGCGCTGATGGACCACAAAAAAAAAACCATCTCATAGATACGCGCGCACACACACACGCACACACGCACACGCACATAATTAAACAAAGTTGGGATTGGCCACTGATGCCAGCTGTATGAGATCATAACCAACGGAACGGCCAACAACCCAGTTGCGTTGAAAGCTGCTGTCGAGTCTTCAACAATACCAAATTAGTTGCCGTCTTTATGATTATTATTTTGTATTTTGTTTTTTTTTTTTTTTTTTTGCGTACGTGTTATTGTTGCTGCCATAATTTGTGGGCCGAAGTAAAGGGGAAGGGGCAAAAACACCATCTCTTAGATTTTTCGTGTTGTATAATTGTGGCAAAAATAAAAATGGTGGCTTCTGGAACGTGTTGTAGTCCAACTTGTGGCAATAGCCAATGACAAAGTGAAGCGTAAATTACGTGTAATATGAAAAGACACGTTCAAATGCACAAAACAAACTTCAAAATTCCTAATGATAAACCGCTTTGGAATATGCACTTAGATTAAAGAAAGAAAAAACAGCGCATAACCTTAATTTAATGAAATACATATTTTGTCAGCCATTAAAAAAGTGTGCTGCAGACGAATCTTATCGCGTATATGTTATCAGTTATGATTTGTATTGATTTTGCTTGACTGATAAATATGGCATGACATCAAAGTAAAAATAAAATAAAACTGCAATGGCCTCAAAGTTGTAAAGCTCAAGTATTTCCAGGAAAACTTGTTGCAAGTACATTCAATTTTTACCTTGTGCGTTAAAATACAAAAAATTGCTGATAAAGCATTAAAGTTCGTCGACAAAATCTTGAAGTCAAACGAAATACTTGTAAATATATGTTGCTTAAAATGCTGAGCGCTGGCAAGCATTAACAGCTGTTGTCCATTTGCGGTGGCTTTAATGAACTTGACCACAAAAGGATCGCCAATTGGATTTGTATAAAGCTCATATTCATTATTTCGGCCACTTACATATTCTGGCAGCACACGCACACCCACCTAACAGAACTTGGTAATAACTAACAACTAATGTAAAAAAAATATATATATATATATATTTGTATTTAATATTTTGATTTGCTGCGTAAAGTGGCAAGAACAATGGAAGCATCAGCGGAAATACACAGAAAAAAAAAAAACAAAATGAAACGTTAAAAAAAAAAAAAATAGGAATACAAAAACTGAGCGAGGCAATGACAGCTGTGGCTGCAAGAGCGAAAAGGAGAGTCGTTGCTGTTGTTGCTGTTGTTCGATGATGTTGATGCGCCTCGCTTACGGCCATTTCCGGTTGAAGCACGTGCGCACTAAAGAGGAGACACGGAGCCACCGTAAAGCAACCACCGCAACCTAACGCACCAATCACAAGCGGAATCACTGGCGACAACAACAAGAACAACGAACAACACTCGAATCCTATCGCAACTACTTGCCCAAAACGCACACGTTCGAAAAAATTTGAATCGAAAATTTGACAAAAAACGCGCCGAGCCGAACATAATAATTATGTGCGTACCGTGCGTTACTGGAGAGGCAGAATACCAAATGAATGCCAAGTGAATATTGAGTGTAGAAATGAAATGGTTGGTGTGTGCCAAAAGGATTGAGGCGTTGCCCAGGAGCAGGCGGCGGCAAATGTTGTTGAATTTCAATTAAGAACATAAAAAAAAAAATAAAGAAAAAGAAAAAGAAAACTTGTTTCCTTGAACAATAGAGCAGTATCCTGGTGCCAAAAGGGATTACAATTTAATGCAATAACGCGCTGTGAAGAAAAGATGAACAACTGCTGCCTGACACTGGCTAAGGGGAGTTGCAGGAAGCGCCTACCATACGGTAGGGGGGATAGAACAAGGATTCGCTTCAGCAGCTGCTGAGGGCGGAGACAGCAGCCAGCTCAGATACTCGAAGGAGCTGGACCAGGGGCAGGACCAGGAGCGGGCCACTCGCTGACACTTGAGCCGACTGAAGAAGGCCTGAATTGATATCAAATTAAAGCTGGATCTATACCTGGCACACGTGTGCAAACTGCTGCAATTGCAGAGGAGCACAATCAAGGCCTGGCCCTGGATCTTTTGCTTTTGTATTTGAGTAAGCACTTCCGTTGTTGTCGCTGCCACACGTGTCGCCTACTCTTTCTCGCTCGCCAGCGCGCGCTCTCTTTCACTCGCACTCGCACTCTTTTCTGTTGCTGCGGCTTGTGGCACTAATGTAAATCGGATGTCAATGCATCGTGATGTGTATATAAATTATCAGCCACAGAGCAAGAGAATAATATGCGTGCAGAGTGCGAAAGAGTGAGTGAGTGACAGTGAGAGAGAGAGAGAGAGAGAGAGAGAGACAGAGAGATTGCTAGTATGTGTGGAGAATCCACTTCAACACAGAACCTGTTAGAAGCAAAGCTAAATAAATAAATAAATAAACTGTTAGTCTGCAAAACGGAAGGAAATCATAAACACAGCAGTAGTTGTTAGTTGTTGTTGATGTTTTGACACGCATACTATCATAATTACAGCTGCACTTGGGCCACCAGGCGACCAACAAGCAACAAGCAACAAGCAACTAGCGAAGACCAACCCAACGCCCCACACACACACACACACACACACACACACACACCTGTTGCTGCTTCCGTGCAGCGGTGGCAAAAGAAAATATCAATTTTCTACGTAAACTGAAGCTGGCCAAGATGCGTCCGCAATTTAACTATATAGAGCATCATCACATACGATACGAGTACGTATTGCATTCGAGATTGTGTACCTGCATTTTGACAACAAAATAAACAGATGCAGCTCTAAAGATATGCTTTGATTGTTAGACTAGTAAACAACACACACACACAAATACAAACAACATTGAATGGAGCAGCCGCAACACCAGCAGGAGCATGAGAATGAGGATGATCATAGGAATGGGACTGGGAGTGAAAATGGGAATGCGAATGGAAATGGGTATAGGTATGGGTATGGGTATGGATATGAGAGGTTGCCTTGTGAGTTGCACATTATCTTTGCAGCTCCTTGGCGCGCATGTAGAGCGGAAATGAAACCAGATACTTTGATAGAGCGCTTGCAAGGAGTCGCTCTCCAGCGACAGCGACAGCAGTAGCAGCAGCACCACCATCATTGATCTTCAGCTCTGATGAGGCAAAATGTAATGATCTGGCCATAAATGAGGCTTGGTTATAAATATTATTGATCTTGGTACTTGCGCGTACTTGAGCTTCTTGATTAAAAACTCTGCTGCAAATTGTTGACTCTGCCTCAAATGCCAACTACTAAAGGAAGCATTGATCTTGACCAGAACGCTACCGTAGGCTATAAAGTTTACATATGCTGCATTCCTGTCGAACTGCGTTAGTATGGGAGTATAATACCACAGATCTATAGGCAAGATCACAAGATTAAGGATTATACGTTTTCCAACCTTCAATTGCCGACATTTCAAATGCAACAGTCTCATCTGATTTGCTTTGGGTGTTGCCGAAACTTGATTTTATTTTGAAAGAAGTTCTACTCAAAATGACGCTAATAATATATTTAAGAGCAACAGGAAGTAACCATCAATCAATCAATCAATCGATCTTCAATCAGAGCTAGTTGGAATTTATTGATCTGGTTTGGTGTACTCTGCTGTTGTTGCCGTCGGACCTTCAACTGTGCGGACAGTTGGTAAGTCCTAAAATTTGACTGACTCGCTAAATGGCTCATTTAATACCGTTCCCCACTGAGCACAGAAGGTGGCATGCGGTCAGCAGCAACAACACCAACAACAACAACAACAACAACAACAGCAACAGCAACAGCAACAACAGCAGCAGCAGCAACAACGACAACGCAAAGCATAAACGAATGAACCTGAACCCTGCGAGAACGCAACTCGAACGGCTGGCTGAACGTCAAATTGTGCACCTGTCCAACTATCACCATGACTACGCCAACAACAACATTAACAACAACAACAACAACAACAACAGCAGCAGCAGCAGCAGCCGCAGCAACAACAAAATTCGGACAACATGTGTGCCCTGTGGAGTGTACGAGAGTGCGAGAAAGACGCCGACCCCAGGCCGAGGTCCGGACAACTGTTGTGTGTGCCTGAGTTTGCGCTTTTTTCCAATGTAGTTCGTAGCCAGATTGTGTGCCACACACACACACACAGGCACACACACAGGCACACAGACGCACGCAATCGCCCACACATTTCCGAGTTTTGGTTCCGAGTTGTGAACGCTGTGAGAAAACTGTTGGTTGCCTGGACTCTCGCCTGCACATACACACGCAAGATGCAGCCAGGCGATATGGGAATAGGATATTAGAATGTCAGGCGAAGGCTCGCCTTGGCTCGGTCGGTTGCCCGGTGTCTGGCCCTGTTGCTGCTACCTGCCAGGCCACTTTGGCGCTGCTGCCTTTGGCTTGCCTAATTTACTTGCGCCGACGCATTGTCCTTTTGCTGCAGCCAAATGTTGGGTTCGTCCTTTCTCTTTCTGGCTCGCCTGCACTTGTGGCTCATTCATAAGACTGAAATCTCTACCACTCTCTACCACTTGCGCACGGCAACAAAAGGCACCGAACTGAACTGAACTGAATGTTCTTTAGGGCCCCTCTGGGCTTCAAGGTATCGATACGGAACTAAAGGAAGTAAATTACCGGATGTTGTATTCTCATTTGCTTGTTGTTCTTTGTGATTCACCGAGATATCCTACGGCTTTTGTGCACTCCCGGCCCACAACAACCTTGCTCATTTGTCATGCTGCTCTCTGGATCTTGTTCTTCACGCTTTTCGCATGAAATGACCAATAATAAACCTGCCTTTTCAGCCTTTTCAGCCTTTCCCCTTATCCACTTTGTTTTTCTTTTCATTTTTGGCAAGCCATCGAGCAATCGAGACACACACGCATACATGGTACAGAGATATTTATTCGGCGGCTCATTAATTGCACATATGCAATTGCTTTTTAATAGCCCACCTCAAACATGGTATGCGCAATGTTTTCCCACGGCTGCTGGGGGTAGTATTCATTCCCTTTCTGTTTGAATTTTGATAAATTACACGACAAATGTCCAACCCACGACACAGGCAAGTCTAACGTTCCAGCTCATTGCGTCTAAATGTTTCGTCCTGCCAAAGGATACAATTTTAGCGTGGGATACTGCAGATACTGCAAAATATTAACCATAGCTTGGGTAACTTAAAGTAAATGCTGTTAATTGGAAAAACTTCATTAAAAAATCGAATTAACGATAAAATTTTCTAAAAGTAAATATAATTATTTTGATCAGTTTGTTAAAGTTTGAGCACAAACAGAAGTCAAAGTAATATATGTAATAAAAATTGTTAAGCTGTGCCTTGTGATTGTAATACAAATTTTTGCTGAATCAGAATTAAATATGATGTTAAATTTTGTACACATAAATTTTGTGATTCTCTCATTGGATTCAGGATCTAGTCGCTTCCTTTGAAGCGTAACTGCATGCCAACTGTTCATACTTTGAGGCCTTATCTATGCAAATGAGGTGAAGAACTTGGGCAATATGCATGAGTACTAGAGTCTGGACAAACAGGAGAAACATGGCAGGTAAACAACAACAAGAGCTGCAAATGAAACAATATGAAAACAACATCAACAACATTAACGGCAAAGGCAACAACAAATCAGCTGCGCAAGCGCACAGATCAAACGACAAAATGCCGACAGAAAACAAAAAAAAAAAAACAATCAGGGACGGAATAGGGCGGAACGGGGGCTGGGGACGGTACCGAGTGCGGTCTCTGGGCTGTTGAAAAATTGCAAAGGCCCAGCAGACGAGCGAAAAGCAAAAAAAATTAAAAGCTAAAACAAGCTGAAAATTCAAATTTATTTACACTTTGACGCATTTAAAACAAAGCGAGCGAGAAAAAAATAAAACCGCCCAAATTAAACAAAACAAAAAAAAACAGCAATAACAACAACAAAACAAATAAATGAGACGAAGGCAGGCCAACAACAACAACAACAACGCATAACGATGTGAAAATTAAATGTAAAAGCCAGCGACACGAAGAGAAAGAGAATAAAATAAAAATAGGCAACTAGCCAGGCAGGGCGGCAAGCTGATAAAAATCAAGAGACCAACTTTTGCACTGAATTTACGAGCCCGCAGCCCAAATTGCATTAGCTTTCGGAATGAGAATTTTCCCACGTTGTCCGGACAACTCGAGCCTGAACTTCAACCAGCTCAGGTGCTGGCTACAAATTATATCATTTGCCGAATGCCAACTCTACAAATTGTGCGCTGAGCGCTGTGGCAGTAGCAGGAGCAGGACATGCCGCTGCAGGTCCTGCTGCTGGTGGTGGTGGTTTCTTCTAACTGATAACCATCAGAAAGTGCAGAACCCACCCCAAAAAAAAAAAAAAAAAATGCTGCACTTGCCGCAGCCAGTGCTGGAATTCAGCTGGGGGCGCACTCTCACCCTCATCCGCGCATTGCCACAGGGCCCTGCAGCCATGGTGACCCTCACAGAAGTTCTCGTTTTCCCTAGTTCATTTGTTGCATTTCCATATAATTTTGTTATTTGTCTGTCGAGTGACAAGTGTTGGCATTGAATGTTGTTGCTTGGTTGCTTGGTTCGGGCTTGGCCTCTGTTCCCAAGGGTGTTGGATCACTCGAGATCAGTGCACAATTAGCCAGGGGATAGTTTCCTGTGCCAAGGTCACATCTGATAACGGTTTGTGTTGTTTTGAAATATGATAATTCAATTGTTTCGATTTTCGTGCAATTTAAGCCTCAGCTAGACTTTGATAATTGGCAAGATACAAATGTATCTTAAAGATGTGCCGCGTTCTACAGTTATTGCACAAATAAATTATGAAATCAAAGCATTTTCTATGCAAGTCTCTAGCGAATAATTCGATTGGCGGGCAGTGCAAAATGGAAAATTCACACAATTCAATTAGCTGGCGGCCACAAAATTGCGTTCATGAAAATTACAAATGCCGCGTGGGCAAATAAACAAAAAGGAAAATGTGTGCATTTAAAATGGGGAAAAAGCCAAAAAGGCTGATGATGAAAACTGTAACGGCGGAAATATGCAAGGAAATTGCAAAGACGCTGACTGAATGATGGGCGCCAGTTTTTAGTTGGGCGTGGCACCAATCTGGCGAATATTTTCGCAGATATTTTCGGTTTGCTACATTGTCCGGAAATTGTGGCTGGTAAAGGGACGTTAACCAAAGGCATTCATGAATTGCCAAAAAACGTAAATTTAAAGAAATCCGCTTAAGCTATAGAATATATACCAATTCGAAATACTTATCATAGATATTTATTAAAGGAACTAAAGCAAAGAACACTCGACAATTAATTTGTATCTAAAACCAAGAATGATGTAGTCGGGAGTATCCGACCAAGGGATACCCTGAAGCTTTTGCTAAAAAAAATTATCTCTCTTTGGGACGAATGGATAGACAGACGGACATGGCTAGATATACTCGACTATTGATGCTGATCAAGAATATATATACTTTAAAATCATAATACTTTTTATCCATTTTCAATGGGTTCAGAGTATAATAATTTCCATCTGAAAATAATTTCTAGCCTAAATAGGTTTTTCCTCCCAGCAGTTAATTCGTTATAATTGAAGCATGTTTTCAACATATTTATTAATTTGTGTGCTTTAGACTTGAAATTCGCATTAATAATATAATTATCGAAACACACACACACTCGCACACATACAGGAGCAATGGCAGAAAAAAGCGCAGCCTCACATCCGGTCAACATTTTGTCGCCATTGCCGTCTCTTTCATGTGAACTCTTTTGAGGCAACAGTTGAAGTAAAAAAAAAATATATATATAAAAGAGGTAAACCAAATTACACAAAGCTCTTGCACAAAGACACACACACACAGTTGAACTAAAAGAGAGAGAGAGAGAGAGAGAGAGATATGTAGAGTCGGGAGTCGGATTTGGATTCGCAATCGGAGTCTAGGCAGATTGTCCGCAAATCTAAAACAAGTTACAGTTCATTCATTTCCATTCATTCATTCAATCGAGCAACGAACCGGCTTTCGGTGCCCCATTCATCGAAGCGGCCAGCAGCGGATGTTGGCGTAGTTCTTTAGGGGGCTTCAGTCTCAGTAGACTCCATCTCCGTCTCCGTCTCAGTCTCAGCCCCAGTTTCAGGTCCAGTCGCAGTCTTCGTCCGAGTCTCAATCTCAATCTAAGCTCCAAAGACGATTTCCCTCACTAAACACACACTCACGAAACGAGCATAATTTGATTTTATTTATATTTGTACGTTTGCCGGAGTTAATAATTATAAATTGGCGTATGTTGTTGGCCAACTCGGGCCACATCTGGCCAGCAAAAAGTTACAGATACATTTAGATAACTTAAGTTGCATGTCTATGTGTGCGTGTGTGTGTGCGTTAGTATTTCTCCATTTTGTCGTTTGTTTTTTGTTTGCCTAATTCTTAATGATGCATAAAGTGCTTGGCTTGTCGCTCTTTGGTTGCCCAACAAATAAAATTTTGAAAGTTGATTGCAAATTAATTGCCAGCCAGCCTCCATGCCTCTATGCATGATTTCAATACGTTTTTCAAAATGTTTTTTTGCAATGCCAAATGTGTATAGAAAATTAGCTATGCATCAACTAAATGGGTTAATTATTAGCATGGGGCAAGTTTTTAGTGTACAGATAGTTAGACTGAAACAAAAAAAAAACGTAAAAGATTCAAGAATTGATTTCAGTTCAAGTGTTTAGCTTTAATTCAATAGCAGCAAAAAACAGTTGGGTAATTTAAAAAAGGCTAGAAAATAACTTTGTAATAATAGACTATTAATTATATGATTGAAATTAATTTGCATGATTTTAAGATTGAGCGATTTTATTGAATTAAACTTTTGAATAATATAGCGATACGACTCAATGATTCGCCGTGCTAAGCAACTAAAATTGAGCTTCGTTTTGGTTCAGTTGTTGTCAAAGTTTTTACTATGTGCATTTCGTTATCTGGCTCGATTAGTTATTGATTAACTTGAAAGTTATGTTACTTTGTGCTAATAGAAACGACTATTTGTTTACTTTTTTAAAGTAGAGCTGCATATAATATTTGGTATGAATAGTCCGCAGTTGAAGCTCAGGTCAGTTCACGGCAAATGTTAATATTTTTTAGATACAAATTATTTGCAGCTCGTGTTACACATGAATCCAAGTATGAATCTATTCGTTTTCACTATGCAAGCCCGTTTGTATCTTTCGTCGCTGCGTTTCGTTCATTGCCTTTTGCTCTTGTGTTGCTGTTGCTGTTGTTGTTGTTGTTGTTGTTGCCGTTGCTGTTGTTGCTATTAGCGGCTTTCGCATTATACAATTTAATGTTTAATTTTTTTTTCCCCCGAGTCGAAAACAACAACAACAACAACAACAAAAAGTCCAACTCACAGTTGCCGTTGATGTTGTTCTTTTGAATGTTCTTTGTTTTAAATTAACTCGACCGTAACGCTTTTCTATGGCGTAAATTTACATCTACGTACGTAACGAAATAAAACGAGCACAAAAAAAAAAAAAAACGAAAAACTGAAAAAAAACCGAGAAAAAAAAAAAGCCAGCTCGAGTCCCAACATCGAGGAGACGCCGTCATCGTCACCGGCGTCGACAGCAACAATGGGTATGAAAACAACAAAGTATAAGTATATAGAAATTTACTGCGAGTAAACGGGTAGACGAATATTGCCACCATACACAAGCGAGCAGACGTAAAACCCATTTGAATTTTTACCTATGAATACGTAACGCCGCCCAGGCTGGCGAGGGGTGCAGCAACATATTAGAACCAATGCCATTGCTGGTGTTGCCGTTGGCGCGCGTCAGATTCAGCTGAATATGGTAATAAATTAAATGAAATCCACAGAGAGCACTGCAATCTGGCAGTAGCTAACTAACTGGCGATCGCAGCCACCACACCAGCAAGAAGAATGCTAGAAAAAAAAAGGGAAACCACAGAGTGCAACCTCCCCCGATATGAACAGGGCTAAATTCTAGGTTGTGCGGCTTTTGAACCATGCTAAAAAAAAAAAAACATACACAGAAAATACCATTAAGCTGAACCGTTCACTTGACTTTTCACAGCTTGGCGCGCTCTGCCACCACCACTACCACCACCACCAGCAGCAGCAGCAGCACCACCACCAGCACCACCAGCACCACCAATAGTTGACCAACGAAGCGCGCAGGCGGGTAGTACAAATCTTTGGCTTCAACAATCAACTGCGCTGCGACTATGTTAATTAGCAGCAATGTGATTTCTGGCTTGAAGGCCCCCGAGTTGGCTCTAACCATTGTTGCTCCGAGTATGATTAATATGCTATTCTAAGTGTAGCCTCTGCCATGGAGTGAAGTGGGCGCATTAAATTCCGCTAAATGCTATAATAATATGCCTGATGCCCGTTGCTAACTTCTAGATGGCCCAGTAGTTAATTTTCTTTCTGTTTGGCTTTTTTTTTTGCCGCGCTGCTGCAACAATGGCGTTAAAATTAAAAACGAAATTTAATTTTATGACCTTAACAAATTTGCAATCAACATAATTTCAAGACGTAGATGTTATGACTTAAGGGTTTTATGTGCTCTATTTTGGCCATGGTGCGTGGTTCGTATATTAGCTGGCTCTCTCTCTCCCGCTCTTTCTCTCTCATGCAGCTCCCCATCGCGCTGAATGTGAATGTCTTTTGACCGGCCCCATGTTCTGCTTGGTTGCCACATAATTTGTGGGAGGCGCAAATTGTCTTGCGTTAATGGTTGAATTTAGTGTAATTAATAATAGGCGGAAGGCACTAAAACTTATTCATTTTAACAGAGTAACATTGTATGCTAATCAAGAGACAGATCATACATATATATATATCACTGGAATGCGTATCAATAATCTCTATATCTAGAGTTGTGAAGTTCGTATTAAGCATTAATATTATTAATTGTAGAATACAACATTTAATGTTTTGAAAATGTCAATTAATAGTTCTGAAATGTCTCATTTAAAGTTTCGTAGTACTATTATTCAAACAATTTATCCCCAAGTAATTCTTGTACATATCAACATGCCGAAAAGGTAGGGTATTTTTGTTTATCATATTTATCGATTGTAATATCTATTGATATGCTTGATCCCCAATTTGACGAGCACCTCTAGACTTTAACTACAACTTTTAGCCCAACTTTCACACGTCGTCTCTTGCGTGCAAATTAAAAGTATATTAATCTTAGCTTTTTATAAGCGTACGCACACTTACACACACACACACACACACACGCCCAGTTGTGTGTAAATAAGTGTGATCTGTCACATGCAAGGAATTCCATTGTCGCTTTCAAAATCAACAAACTGTAACTAAACTAAAACGCTTGGCACACACTCAAGAGTCCACAAATGTCACAAATACACTCATGAGTACTTGTACTTATATTCGCGATCGTCGCCAGAGTTCATTACAAGATATGTAGATGTGTGTGCGTGTGTGTGTGAGAAATTGTCGTTGAGTGTGTGACACGCAATATGGCGATCAGAGGCGTTAGTTCTGACTCTGACCCCGTGGCGTTGCTGTGGAGTAGTTGAAGGTGGAAGCGGGGCGTCTGCATGCGCACTCAAATGTATCTACAAGTCAAATATGCATTAAATGTGTCATTTTGTGAGGCAACAACCTACGCGCGGCACGAGCAAAGACGCAACTCGCATGGCCAAGCGATTTGAAAAGCGAGTGGAGCACTCACCAGGCCAACTGACGGACTGACTCTCAGGTCTGTCTGATCGGTTGGCTGGCTGGGCTGAGGTTATATGCCGACATCAGCTTGATGTTCATGTTGTTGTTGCTGCTGCTGATGATGATGAACATGAATCAACAGCCACACAACGGCAACAATGGCAACTCTTCAAGCTTGGACAAACATTTCACGCATCAGGCATTTTATTGTGTAGAAATATATATATATGTATATATTTATATATATGCTACGCGAATAAAAACAATATAAAACCAAAAAAAAAAAAAAAGAAACAGCACTGAAAATAGAACAAATTTTTCGCAAATATACGTTTAACAATAGTCCGATCCGTCCGTTGGACTGGTGTTGAAAGGTAGATGGCCTTTCTTATATCTAGTTGGGTCCAAGGGCTTCTAATTAAGCCAGCAAGCATATGGGCTTGACCACATATTTCAAGTCGCATCGCATTGTATCGAGGAGAACAATACGACTTCAGCGCTAATAAAAACAATTTCGCGTGCAAATATCTAAGATACACTAGCCCAGATGCGCTCTCAACCAAAACATTCAAAGACCCTGGCTGTCCATACAGACACAAACGCACACACACACACACACACACATAGCTAACTGGTAATCATATGTGAGCTATCTGTGAGTTATTGTATCTGGTC